CGCGCTCGCCAAGGGGCGCGCCCCGCGTTCCCGGCGCCGCCCACTCCGCTCCGGCGGCCGCTCCTCCCTCCGCCCGGAGAGCCGCCGGCGGCTGCCGGAGAGGCCCCTCCTTCGCGTCCTCCTCCTTTCCCTCGCTGGCAGCCGAGCGCAGCCGCCGACCCTGCTGGGCCTGCGACCCTCCCCGGCCATGGCCGGCAACGTGAAAAAGAGCTCAGGCGCGGGGGGCGGCGGCGGCTCTGGGGGCTCGGGCGCGGGCGGCCTGATTGGACTCATGAAGGACGCCTTCCAGCCGCACCACCACCACCACCACCTCAGCCCGCACCCGCCCGGGACCGTGGACAAGAAGATGGTGGAGAAGTGCTGGAAGCTCATGGACAAGGTGAAGGCCTGCTGGGGACTCGGGGTGGGCGTGGGCGGAGGGGCCGCGGTGAGGGGCGGGACGGACGGACGGACGGAGGAAGCTGGGGGAGGGGTCGGGGATCCCGAGGCCGGGGACCCGGGACCGTGGGGGCGGGGAGAGGCCGGAGGGCGGGGGTCGTGTGGGGGAAGGGCTTCCGTTGGCACTTGAGTACGTTGGGGTGCTTGGGGAGCGAGACAAAGGTGGGTTGGGGCTGGGGTGAGGGTGACTGGGAAGCCACCGGGGCGGAAGTGCGGCGGGCGTGAGAGTTTGGGGCTCTGCAGGGTGCAGAGATGTGGGTCACGGAATTGGCCCTGGGAGACGAGAGGGATGGGGTGCGGAAGTGTGTACTGTAATTTATCGGTTTAGGGCTCCTGGCTGGATGAGCAGAGATCTGATTATAGCATTAGGTTTATGGGCTCTGACCGCGGGATGTGGTGTCAGGACAACTCCGTCTCACTGCTCTGGGTGAACAGAGTTTTTTCTCTTTATCTGTGGCATCAACATAACAGAGAGAGGTTGAAGTGGGGCAAGGAGGGAACTTTATGCCCCGTCTGGCTCTGGCTCGAGTTTTTTGTTATCCCCGCAACTGTACGTGCTGAGATATGCACTGATTAAACCACAGAATTCTGGTTAGAACCATTATCTACTGAAAGGTGGGTTGACTAAGCCTGCTAAGCAGCACATTTTCACTTCTTCCTGACTTCCTCCCTAGCGCTCTGCTCACATTTTTAGCTGGGCCCTATTTATTTAGGGCCGGCTCCGTTATTAAAGGACCTGACTTGCACTTGTTCTGTGAGCCTGTTCCTCCCTCCCCCCCCTTTGCTCAGCAACTGCGGAAAAAGTAGCTACTTTGTACAGAGCCCTTTAAGTTTGTTACTTGGTAGAATTTTCTAGTGTGTATAATGAAGTACAACAGTTAGTCCCGCGTACTTGAGAGTGTATAGGAAGTCTAGTATTTCGTTAGTGTTTTACTGACATGTTCTGTTTACTAATTTGGCTAAATGCACACTGCGGATGGGAAGTGATTGGGAGGATCTGGCATGTGAGAGTGGTGTTGGTTCCTCCGGGGTAAACTGGTTTTCTTGGTTCCTCTCCGGGCCTGGGTTCTTCTTCTGTAAAGTTCTTGGATTGTTTTGGACTAGAAGCAGCTCATAAAATGTCTATGAAGCACTTGGCAAATATAAATGTGCTATATAAGTGCATAACAAGTCCTGTGTGAGAATTAACACTTGGTAGTGCATACCAGTGGTTTCAAAACCACTTTCTCAGGGCTGATTTTTTTTTTTTTCCTTTTGTTAAATAATTGATATTGCAGAAGGCCCTGGGTTCCATCTGCAGCACCTTCCCCCATTGGTATTGTAATTAATAACAAGTGTCAATTATTTATAGCTAGTGTTGTATTGATTGTGTATCGTGTGCAGTATGTTTATATAAATTATAGGCTTTGTATATTGAGTACTGTAGTATTAGGGTAGGTTGATTATATTAGTGGTAAGTACTGGTATTATTAGAAATCAGAAAATTAGACATGTAAAGGAAACTTTATTTTTTGAGACAGGGTCTGCTGTGCAGTTCAGACTGGTCTTGTGTTCACTTTTGTAATCCCCAGACCGGTCCCAAACCTGCAGTGAGCCTCTTGTCTCAACCTCCTGAGTGCTGGGAATTACAGGCGTGCGCCACCATGCCCAATTCCTGTAAAGGAAACCTTAAATGTGCTGCTGTCTTTTTAAAAATATTGAAGCTAGGGCTGGAGAGATGGCTCAGTGGTCTAAAGCACCTACTTGGAACAAGCTTGGCAAAGCACAG